CCGACTTCCGGGGCGAGAAAGCCCCGTTCGTAAGCTGCTCCGGTGCCCCTGGTCTGCTGGAGACGGTCTCCAGCAGACCAGGGGCACCGGAGCAGCTTACGAACGGGGCTTTCTCGCCCCGACTTCCGGGGCGAGAAAGCCCCGTTCGTAAGCTGCTCCGGTGCCCCTGGTCTGCTGGAGACGGTCTCCAGCAGACCAGGGGCACCGGAGCAGCTTACGAACGGGGCTTTCTCGCCCCGACTTCCGGGGCGAGAAAGCCCCGTTCGTAAGTGCGGATCCGACATAAGTCGGATCCGCGTAAGTCGGGGACTGCCTGTATTGGGATTTAGAAAAACCTCAGGGAATTTTCTTTACTGTATTGCATTTTGCTTATTGGTCATTCTAATAATTATTTGGTGCCTACATATGTAAGAAATTGATAAAATCATAATTTATACGTAGAAGCCCTTTAATAAAAGTTTAAAAGATATTTGGTAATAGTTTGCCTGTTTCTGCGCCTCCCTGAGACTAGCCACATTTCCGAACCGTTTAGTTTAAACCACACTGAGGAGGGAATAAGGAAGGTCAGAAACCTCTGGGTGGGGAAAGGGACGAGGAATAAAGCAGATTCTTACTCCCAGATATATCCAGCCCCGGCAGGGTGGCTTTGCACTGCCTTAAGCACATGGAATAAGAAGCTAAGGATAACCAATCACTTCATCTATTTGCTTTTACTTGCTTCAGAAACGCAGCTTGTTTCCTCCTATGTCCCCACCTCAGAACAAGTGGGTCCCATCCCCCGCTTTCCCCAAATCTTTTTTTTCTAGAAATTCTCTCTGAAGCCGTCTCTCTTCTTGGCTTGATGCCTTCCCCTGTTACCTGCTGTGTGCAGACCTCCCCTTCCCAAGTGGAAATGCATGTCCTCTCCTCCCTCAGGCCTACTAGCTTTCCAAAGCCAGGCATCGCTTCAGTGCTATTGACTTCATGGCTTGCTTCTCAGCTTTTATCATTCTTACTTTGTTTATCTAAAGATGACGGAGAGTGTCCAGAGGTTCCTGTCTTCCTCTGTAATTGTATGGTGCAGTATACACCTATAGTTAATCTTTGATTATCACAGAGCTTTATAACAGAATGAGGCAGAGAGCCAAATTTTGCTGTCATCTATGCTCATAGGTGCTAGAACTGAATTGCTTACTTTAAGAAAAACATGTTCATTGATTTGCCTTTTTTTGCCTACCTTTTTTTTAAGGAGAACTGAAACTCCCCAACCCACTGCCCACTCTTTAAGGAATGAGGAATAGAAATTAATGTAATTGGATGGAACAATGGAAACATTTTTAAGAGCTCCTTTTCCCTATTACGATGCAACAAAGTGTACAAAAAATCATATATGAGCAAAATGTTATTGTAGCAGGTGAGCAGGGAAGAGACCCAGGAATCCTGAAAAGCTTTCTTTTCACAATGTCCATTGTAAATTCTAGGTCTGAAATGTTCTTGGATATTCCTAGAACTTGTTTTAATTGCCCTGTCTGCAAAGGATGCAAAAAAACCCCCAAAAAACAAAAAACTAATTTCCAATAATTGCAACAACAAAATGATGATGTTGTCTCTTTAATAGCACCTGTTTGCATATGCCATTCTGGTAGTGTAAAACACTTATGTAATGCATTCCCTTATAAAGGTCCTTTTCACTATGGCTGGGTCTAGACTATATCCCTTTTCTTGAAAAAGGGATGTAAAACAGACACTTGGAAATTGCAAATGGAGCCGGGATTTAAATTTCCCATGCTTCATTTGCATAATGGTGGCCACGGGTTTTTTTTTGAAAAGGGGCTTTTTGAAAGAAAAACATCTATTTAGATGGGGATCTTTTGAAAATAAAATCCTTTTTCAAAAGATCCTGTACTCCTCAAAAAATGAGGTTTACAGGATCTTTCAAAAAAGGGTTTTATTTTCAAAAGATCCCTATGTAAACATCTGTTTTTCGTTCAAAAAGCCCCTTTTTGGAAAAAACTGCAGCCACCATTATGCAAACGAAGCACAGGAAATTTAAACCCGGCTTCATTTGCAATTTCAAAGTGTCTAATTTACAATCCTTTTTCGAGAAAAGGGATGTAGTCTAGACACAGCCTGTTAGACAAGTGTAAAAGGGCATTAGTGTAAATGAGAATCAGACTCAAAAGTGTTGTAGACCACCTCTTTTGGATTATTCTTTTCAGGTGTTACTTGTTAAGATGAATGCGTAGCTGAAGATGTTTCCTGATAAGTAAGAATTGGTCAGTTGTGGTATTTTCACAGTAAGACCACTGGGAGCAAAATTTCTTATCAGATCTAGAAGAGTGAATAAGAAACCAAGGAAGTGAATCTACATAAATAGTAGTATCTTATTTGGTTTCAGAAAAGTAGCTGCACTATGGACTCATAAACTTGCAAGCAGATCTTGTTTGGCTTCTGCAATTTCAGCATGGCAAAGCCCACTGAGTTAGCATATCCCTGTGATGTTATAAAGTGTCACCACATTAGTTTTAAGAACACATACAATATGTTGTCTAAACAGACACCCTTTATCCAAGGATCTCCATGTACTTTATAAACATTAATTCTGACATCTTCCCTGTGAGGGAAGGAAGTATTTTAAATTAGAAATATGAGATCATTTAGCAAATACAATCATCCAGACTCTATCTTAACCAAGGCCAAAGAGTAAATAATTGACAAAGACTGGAAGTTCTGATTCCTTGTTCCTTGTTCCAGACATAAACCCATTCTTGTTTCCCCCTTGGATGTCATTATTTTCAAAGAACCTCTTTGGAAACAATAGACAGTTGTTCTTGATGTCTTTAAATATAAAACTTGTCTCAAATGTGATAGAGAAAGCACACAGATTGGTCTTGATCAGATATACCATGTTTCTCTTCTGCATCCAGTTTTTCCATTTTTTAAAGCAGTTGTTCCTCACTTCAGAGCAGAAGCAGCAAAACAGCTTCAACAGCATATTAAAATTAGAGAGACAATGGAATCTTTCTGACCAGCTTGCCTGAACCCATCTGTGTGGTTTGCATTTTCCTTGTCTTTTAATGCAACTTCCACAATGAAAAACTGCTGGAAGAGTTTGTAGAATTCAGATGGAGCAATTTGAAATAGTAGCGAATGCAGTGGTTCCCAACACGGTGCCCACAGGTACCATGGGGCCCGCTGGGCCATTTCTGTGCACTCGCCGAGTGATCGGGGCCAGCCCTATCCCTGGGCACATGGTGCATGGGCGGTGCCAGCCCCTGGGTGTGCAGTGTATGGGTGGTCCCGTCCCCGGGTGCACGGCGCAAGGGCTGTGCCAGCCCCGTGCACGCGGCGTATGGGCGTCCCCGCCCCTGGGCATGCAGCGCAGGAGCGGCGCCAGCCCCAGGCACGTAGCAGGTGGGTGATGCCGGCTCCTGGGCGTGCGGCACAGGAGCGGCGCCGGCCCCAGGAGTGCAGTGCATGGGTGGCACCGGAACTGGGCACGCAGCGTATGGGTGGCCCCGCCCCCAGGCGCCCGGCAGCCCCAAAAGGTTGGGGACCACTGAGCTAATGTGTCTGTTAGAAGATTTTGTGATGGATCCTGCCTCAGAGTGTGATTATGTGAGTGTACCTGTAAAAAAGGATTCACTCCAATATCTCTGTGAATCATAATCTTATTGGACACCATCAAGCTGTCTCATCTTGAAACTTACTAGTCCCTTCTTGCCAGCAACTTTATCACTATCCATACTACTAACCATGACCTTGGGAGCTACTATTAAGATCTGCCAGGATTCAGTGTTTTCACTGAGGTCACTAGGAACTGAGAGCACTCCTCTCCTTACACGGCTGGACTCATATTTTTGTATCATGATAGTGCATTTCATCCAAGAATCTCAAAGCACTCAAAAGGAAGCATTACAAATATTAGCTAATTAATCCTGGAAACACACATGTGAAGTAAATAAAGGATCCCTTGGGTGGAAAGCAGCAGGCATTTAACAGTGTACAGCCACACTGCACAACAGTGTGGGTCAAGAAATGAAGAAAGAAACCAAATCCACATGAAACTGCTGGAGACAATCTGAGCAAGCAAAATGTAATTGTACCAGTTGGAAGATAGCCAGAAGGCCAGTTAGCACTCTACTAAAAGTACCAGGGGATCGCTAATGACCATAAATGACCTCGAATATTTGATTAACTACTTTATGAATACAGAGGACCATATTTTCAATCCTATCAACTCTTCTCTGCATGCTGTTGTGAATTATGCAGACACACATTTTGTGCAGCAAGATCAGAGACCTGTTCAGTACAATTTCCCCCCTTGTGGAAAGAACAGAATTTGGAAAGGATAGATATTTTCACACATCAGTCTTGTAAATAAATAAATAAAGACAAAACAATTCACAACAAAATGCTGGAGAATGAAGTCTTTCCTTTTTTATGCCAGCACTGCTTTGGAATGGCCAGGGGTTAGCCTTAGCCAGCTCACTCTTCATGAAGGTACTGGTTTTGTCTCAGCATTGAGCAAACTGGGAGAGGGTGTTATGGATGAGTAGATTTTGGCTATTGGCCACATACTGCAGGCATTATTTCAGTTGCACAACAGGGAGGACAGAACTGATCCTGATGAGATTCAAGAACTGTTGCCTGCCAGAACTAGGGATCTAAAAATGCAGTTAAAAAGGTAACCATGTAACCACTAAAATCATAGCAGAGAATACAGAAATGTGCCAGCAACCAGCCACCTCTGGGATCAGATGGGGGTCCTGTCATTCAGGCAACCTGCTTGAGCCCTGCAGCACCACTGGATTTTTTGTGGCCCAGAGATAGTTATCAATTGGCAGAGGTTACAGGATCAACCTGTCAATCATGATTGACGGGTTGGTGACCACTGTAAAATTTATGGGCCCCCAGCCTGTGGCTCTGGGCTGAAGCCCTTAAAGCCCTTGCATTAATCTGGCCCTGTCCACGGGGGTCTTCTTTTCCTGTGTATTTCTTTTAGTTCCGCTTTTTTTTTGCTCTCTCTTCTGAGTCATGTGGGTGTGGTTTCCTGTTGACCAGTCATCAAGCTTTCACTGCTGAAGATTTCTTTTCTCTTCTCTTCCCCTTTATTTGAAAGGCAAGCTGCAAACAAAGTCAACATTATTCATGCCTTTTATTGTTCCCTTAAGTTGTACAGAAATAGATTCAGTGGGGTTCTGTTTTGTTTGTGGGGTTTTTTTTTCAAATTGTACACTTAGCTACCTGAAGGGAAGTTTCAAAGAGGATGGAGAGAGGCTGTTCTCAGTAGTGATAGATGACAGAACGAGGAGCAATGGTCTCAAATTGCAGCAGGGGAGGTCTAGATTGGGTATTAGGAAAAACTATTTCACTAGGAGGGTGGTGAAGCACTGGAATGGGTTACGTAGGTGTTAGAATCTCCATCCCTAGAGGTTTTTAAGTCCCAGCTTGACAAAGCCCTGGCTGGGATAATTTAGTTGAGGTTGGTCCTGCTTTGGGCAGGGGGTTGGACTCGGTGACCTCCTGAGGTCTCTTTCAACCCTGTGATTCTATGATTAGAAATATCAAGCCCTGACATCATTGTTTTTCTGGAGAGCTGTTTAAGAAGCTAAAGCAGGGTTGTATGCTAAAGATCAGCTGCAGCCCTCAGCTGTCTAAGGCCCACATGCTGTCATTCTTTAACAGTGTTTGTAACTGGTAATTCTTCACGGCCTCCTCCTTGTCTACCTGGGGCTTCAGTTGTCCTCGACCGACGATATGCCCCAGGTACGTCACTTCCGACCTTCCAAATGTGCACTTGCTCGGGTTGGCAGTCAAGTGTGCTTTGGACAAAGTCTTAAGGATGGCTCAAATATGTTGTAAGTGTTCCTCCCATGATGTACTGTAAATGACAATATTGTCTATATATGCTGCGGCATACATCTGGTAGTCACTTAAGATTTTGTCCATTAAGCAATGGAATGTCGCTGCTGCCTCATTTAATCCGAACAGCATCGTTAAAAAGTGGTACAGCCCAAAAGAAGTGGCAAAGGCTGTCTTCTCCTGTGATGTGGGAGTGAGGGGGATTTGCCAGTATCCCTTTGTGAGGTCAATTGTGGTAACAGATTCCCTTTAGCTAACTCTCCTGCTACCCTCAACTTTTTCCTTAGATTCAGGATGTGCGGTATTGTCCCCTTTACCTGTGAGTCTTGTCCCTCCCAATTTTCTTGTAAAAGATCTAGGATCCCTCAGAGCTGTCTCCCATATAATAACTCAAAAGGAGAGAAGCCCGTGGACTCTTTGGGCACTTCCCTAACTGCAAGCAGAAGGGAGGGTAGAAAAACGTCCCAGTCTCTCGGATCTACGCACTTGAATTTCCTCAACATTGCCTTTAAGGTTCTATTAAAACGTTCCACAGGCCCATCTGTTTGTGGATGGTATACCGATGTTCAGAGGGTTTTGACCTTCATTAATCAGCATAACTCTGCCATTACCCGCTCCGATACGTTAGACCACAAGATTTCTTGTGGGATCTCCACCCTCGAAAACACTTTTACCAACTCAGCTGCCAAAGTAGTGGCTTTGGTATTTCGGAGAGGTACTGCTTTGGGGTATCTGGTGGCATAGTCTATTAGGACTGAAATATACTGGTTACCTCTATGTGATCTCTCCAGTGGGCCCACCAGGTCCAAGGCTATCTTTTGAATGGAATGGGAGGGGGACTAACAGGCTTTTGGTATGATCCTTCTTCCTGCCTGCTGATACTCCAGGCAGGATTCATAAAAGTATTTCACTTCCTTATACATGCATGGCCAATAGAACCATTGCAGGGTTCACTGTAAAGTCTTTTTGCACCCTAAATGTCCCATCCAGGGGTTGGCGTGGGCTAGATCCATCACCTGCCACCAGAATCGAGTTGGTACTAGTAGTTGTTTGGTTTCCCCCATCTCCCCCGGTCAGTCCTCTATCCTATATAGCCGATCCACTCTTACCTTGAATCGGGGCCCGCAGCAGGCCACTCTGTCATCTGACCCCTCGCCTTGGGACATGCCGGATTGCTCCCATGCATGCGTTAGGGACAGGTCTTCCTGCTGTTCCCATAGAAAGTCTGCTTCCGCTTCGAGTTCCTCCATTCTGAGGTTAGTGGGGGAGGCGTCTGTGACCTGGGCCTCCGGAGCTTTCTTCTCTCATTGTTGGGGATCGGGTCTCCGGGCTGGAGCCACTTGCTTGGCTCTTCCCCATTCTTCTACCAAGCAGCGAAAATGTGGTCAGTCTCGCCTCAACACCACCAGGTATGCTAGTTTTGGGGCTACCGCCACCTGGCACTTCTCTTCTCTCACCCCATCCGCTATGCGTACCCACCACATGGGGTAGTTCCGAACATCCCCGTGTATACATTGCATGGCCGGTATCAATTCAGCCCGTATCTCAGCCCGAGACTACCAGGGCCAATACCTTTTCCCTTTCCAGGCTCACCTGGACCATTATCTTGGAGAAGTCCTGATCTCGGGCTCATCGGTCTGCCGCCATTATCCTCCCATATGAACAGTTCATGAAGGGGCAATCGCATCTAAAATGGCCTTCTTGCCCGCACTCGTAACAGGCGCCTCGCTTCTCTGGTTCAAGGGGGCTGGGCCTTTATCCTTCTGTCAACCAGAGTGATTCTTCTCCCTTGCGCTCACTGGCCCCCTGACGCGGTCCCTCTCCCCATCTTTTTCATGGAGTCAAAGAGGGCCCCCCCCCCGTCCTCTCATGGGGCGGGCCCATGCACTGACTGGTTTTGCGTCGGGGTTTTCTCGGGAGCCTCTAGTCTTGCTCTCTCCCCTATTGGCTGCCATATAATTTTCTAGAATGGTGATAGCTTCTCTGAGGGTGGAGGACTGGTGTCGGCGCACCCACATCCGGCCATCTGTGGGCAGAATCTGTAAAAACTGATCTAGTGTGATCATTTCTACGATTTGGGTGGTAGACCTTTTCTCTGGCTCTAGGCATCAGGTGGCTGCCTCTTTGAGCCTCTGGACGATGGCCCGTGAGCATTCTGCCGGCCAAGACTTCTCAGCCTCGAACAGCTGCCTGTATGTCTCTAGGGTCACCCCTGCCTGGTCTAAAATGGCCTCTCTAACCTTGTGATAATGTAATGTATCCCAGGCGGATAGACCCCCTATATGCCCACTAGGCTGGGCCCATAAGGTAAGGGGCCAACAGGGTGGCCCAATGTTCCTCTGGCCACTGGGCCGCTGTAACCACCCTCTCAAAAGTTATTAAAAATGCCTCTAGGTCATCCCAGGGTGTCATCTTTACTAGTCTCAGAGGCAATGTCAGGGCTGAGGCTGCCCCTGATGGGCCTGCTCCAGAGGCCCCGGCCCAGTGCTTTGACCCTTGTTCCTGTTGTCTCTGCTGATGTTTCATCAGCTCTCGTACTAACTGTTGCTGCTCCGTCTGTTGGTTGGTCATTTGTTGGAGCAACTGGGTCTGCTGTTGCTGCTGCTGTCGCTGGCTCTCAGCCAACCATTCCAGCAGCTTCCCCGTATCCATCTCTACCCTCCTTCCCTGTCTGCACCACTGCGGGTTTTTTTTTTCTTTTATACCTGTACCCACGTTCTCCACCAGTGTCGTGGAGTCAGGGTTTGGTATGTGCCCTAAGCACCCTTTCCTTGCTCTACCTCTGTCCTGTTGTATCACCCTATAGTGCACCCTGTCCCACAGTCACCACAGGATCCCTCGCCTGGCCGGAAAGGCTCCATCTCCACATCATCTGCTCCGTTTTTGTGGGTTACCTCCTCTGGGCTTCCTGGGGGTCCCCGCATACCGAGTGTTCAGTGGCTGCGGGGTCCTAGCACCACTGGGTTTGGACCGTGCATGGCAGACTCCCCGTTCGCCAGTCAGCATGCCACACGGAGCTGCACTTGGGTGGCCTCCAGTGCGGGGGTCCGGCTCCCCCATCACAGTGACTTGGCATGTTCCTGACCAGGTGTTTTGGTTTGGTGTACAATAACTTCCCTTTAGGGGTTAGATGTACAATAACCACAATAAAAACTCCCATAATTCCCTGGGTACTGCTACCAGTTTCATTTTTTTCTAAAGGGAGGCCTGGATGCATGCTCAGCTCTTGCTGGGCTTTAAGGCTATGTCTACACTACAAGGTTTTTGTGCAGAAACGACCATTGTTGCACAAAAACTGGTGAAATGTCCACACCTCAAGCATGTTTTTGTGCAAGTAAATCGGCAGAAAAGAGGGCTTTTGCCGATAGAGTTATTCCTCTCCCCACGAGGAATAACTCCTTTTTGTGCTACAGCTCTTGTGCAACAAGGCAGGTGTGGACGCTCCAAAGGAGGTTTTGCGCAAGACACTACTATTGGCAAAAGCACAGGTGCTCTGATGACCATTTTGTGAATGGCCATCAGAGCTTTCTTGCACAAGAGTGCCCATGCAGTGTGGACGCGCTCATGCGCAAAAGCACATCACTTTCGCGATGCGCTTTGAGGCCTGGACACACTTTTGCACAAGAAGTTTTTGTGGAAGATCTCTTCTACAAAAGCCTTCTTGTGCAAAACCCCTGCAGTGTAGTCAAAGCCTAAAAAAACAGTTAGGGGCTGCAGCAAGGTGGTAGAGGCATACTGCAGCTATCTATAGAGAGTCTGGGAGAGAGTAGCAATTCATGGAAACAACTGTGATAGCTGGATCCATGTGTAACCCACACACCTAGGCTACGTCTACACTGGCCCCTTCTTCGGAAGGGGCATGCTAATTTTGAAAGTGGGAATAGGGAAATCCGTGGGGGATTTAAATATCCCCCGCGGGATTTAAATAAACATGGCCGCCGCTTTTTTCCCGGCTTTGGGAAAAGTAGGAATAAGAGATCCTCCGGAATAGGGCTTTATTCCGGAGGATCAGGCCAGTCTAGACGCTTTTTTCCAAAAAAAAGTTGGAATAGGGCTTTATTCCGGAGGATCGGGCCAGTCTAGATGCTTTTTTCTGGCTTTTCCCCAAGCCGGAATAAAAGTGGCAGCCATGTTTATTTAAATCCCGCGGGGGATATTTAAATCCCCCGCGGATTTCCCTATTCCCACTTTCAAAATTAGCATGCCCCTTCCGAAGAAGGGGCCAGTGTAGATGTAGCCCTAGTGTGGTTACTGAGTACTGCAAGTGGCACCTAGACCACTGCAACAGTTAAGATCAAGAGATCTCTACAGGATGGGCTGGGAGCCAGCTGGCTTTTAGCTCAGAGGGTAGAGGCTCCTCTAGTCAGCTCCCGATGTCCCAGATTCAAATCCGCCTTGGTGGTGGTTACACATGCATTAGCAAGGATGATGTTAAGTTGATGGAGAACTGCTGTTGGGTCCTGGCCACAGATACACACTGGTGGATGCAGTTGTTTTTCACCTGAGATAATCAGCCATGATTATATATGGTTAGAATGAGTGGTAAGACTCTTTCTGTATCTCTGTGGTGAATTTGCAGCAAAACTGCAGAGTCATGAAAGAAGGATCAGAGCTATGATAAGAGTTATATAAACTGAGCGCCCTATCAGTCAGTTGTGCACCAATGTGGTTTGTTTTGTTTTGTTTTCCCCAGTGGGTGCTGTTCTCATAAAGGTCTGTATGTCACTGTGTTGCTTGTAGCAAGGGCAAGTGATCGAAGTGAACAGTGTGACAGATATCACAGAGGGATGTAAACAATTGGGCTTTCCAAAAGTCTGGACCTATCAGTGTCATCTATATACCCATTCTCCGCTTCCCATTTCCTTCCACAAGCAGCCGTGGCTTCCACAGCAATGTAGGCTCCACACACATAGGGTGGGCAAGCATAACACAGAATGCCAACATTTTCAAAAACTCTGTACTTCCCAGCTCAGTCATAGGGGTACACTCTTCCCAACAATCAACATTAACAATACTACCATCTAATATAGACAATCTGCATTTGCAGAGAGGCGGACTGGGAATTTTCTAATTTCTTTGTTTCTCTCTTGTGCTCATCAGAGATCTTTCTCTTTACTTCTTAGTCTTTGGTAAACAAAGTTTAAGTATTTTGCTTCTTTTATTTTCCCTCTTTGTTCTCTAAAAATATATACTTGTTTCCTGTATATGTCTTCCTTCCTGTGGCTGTCTTTCCGGTTTTTATTTCACTGAAATATAGTTTCACAGACTGATTTTCATTTACACTAAGGACCAATGTACATTTGCACTCCCTTTAAGGTTAAAGCACTGTAAAAGGGCCTTAGTGAAAATGAGAATTGGGCCCTAAACATCTGTTTTAACTTTCTTCTCTGACTTAGGCTGTAGCTAAACCAGAGGCCAGGTCCATACTACAGGGAAAGGTCAGCTTAAGGTACGCAATTCCATCTACGTAAAAAACATAGCTGGAGTCAACATACCTTCAGCTGAGCTTCAGCAATGTCCTCGCAGCAGTAGGTCAATGGAAGAAATGCTCTGGACTTCCTTTATTCCTCACGAGGAGTAGGAGTACCGGCGTCAATAGAGATGCCCTCAGTATTCAAATTAGTGGGTCTTTACTAGATCCACTAAAATGAACAACGGAATATTGACCGCTGCTGTTCTCACCTTTTGGACTTTAGTTTGCTAGGCTATTATGCTCTGGCTTCCAGCTTCAGATTGATTACCTGGTTATGCTACAAACAGGAAATCCACTTTTAACTGAGGAGTTCTGGTTGCCAGATTTCCTATTTTAGCACATGCAGTGAAAACTAGCCAAAAAGAAAAGCCTTGTGTTTGTCATATACAATCTGGGCAGAGGGCAGCACTTCAAACATTATTCATAGCACTAGGAATGGATAAAAATCCTTTTGTGTGAAGCTTTGTATAATGGGTAAACACCTGAGACTCCTTGGCAGATATTAACTGTGTTTAGTTTGCATTATGCTAATCTGCTTCCATGAGCTTTAAAACCAAACAAAGTCAAGTGATTTGTCTGAAGTGGAGCTGATGAGTTTAACTCATGGGAGGCAGGTGCTGGAGTAGACTATGCAGGGCGGAGTTTGGAGTTATAGGATGGCTCAGACAATTGGCAATGAACTGCAGGGTATTTTGCCTCACAATCCCCAGTCTGACTCCAGTCCAGGTTAGTAGTGACAGTATGTTTTTATCACGTGGTGGCTGTCTTGTGCTCTCCATTCACCGCTGGGACTAATCAGCAGGATTAACAGTCACCATGGATCTGGGGGCAAGGTGTGGGGGGACTGGCTCTGAAAACCAGAAGGAGCGGAGCCTC